ATGATGCCTCTAGCATCTGTAAGCCACTGAAATATTACTACTCACTGGCAAATAACAAGAATTCCCGAAAGTAACCTAATCGGTGCGGAAACACATCAAGGAAACATTATCTCTAGTATTTTATAATTGCGCATTCAAGATAATGAATTGACAAAGAAGTCATTTATTGTCTAGAGAGCCAGAGAGTCCTGATGAAATACTCGTGAACTACACATCAAGAAGCCGTTATAGCAGCATTTAAGTATAAGGACTGAATGCTTGCAATGTCGGAGATAAAATGAAATGTTGAAATTCAAACTGAATAGCCGAATTGGAAACACATAAAATCACATATCACACCTTTGCAAGCAAAGTCTTTCCTGTTCCAGGTTCTCCATATAATATGACCCCCTTAGGAGGCTTGATACCAATGTCTTCGTATAGTTCAGGATGTGTCAGAGGAAGCTCAACAGCTTCCTTTATTTCCTGTATCTGAGCATCTAAACCACCAATGTCAGCATAGGATTCCAAAGGAGCTTTCTCAACCTTCATGACAGAGACCATTGGATCAACCTCATCTTGAAGAAGTCCAACAACAGAAAGTACCTGGTGATAAAGCATGAATGATAAGAAAGTTTCCATATTTTCTGCATGAATACATCTGAAAATAAGAAATACATCAAGAATCAACAATAGACTACTAAAGCAAATAATTTGGGCAATTTCCTGGTCACACCAATCAGTTAATTATTTTTTTTTCTTCCAATGTGAAGTTCTTCAGGTGCGTCTTATATTGTGCGCGTTGCATATAATAACGATGAACACAACACTCTGTGCCGATGATTATCTCAACAAGTGAACAACTTTGAGGTTACGTTTAGAATTAGAGAGAAGAGAGGAAGAAAGAAATCCAACGAAAATGGCAATATGAAATTTAAAAAAAAAATTGAACCAACTGAAAAACCCTTCGTTGTCCTTATGATATATGGAAGATTTTAGGAAACATTTCATTCCCTCCCCTCCAGCCCCAATACGCCTCATCCAAACAAAACCCCCTTACTCTAGATCTTGAAGCAAATAAGACAATAGCATAGCACTTAAACAAAACGTAATCGGCACCGAAATTCTCGATCCTAAACCTAGACAGCAAGGAATATATAATCGAAAGCTAAATTTTGCAATTAAACACCGAAAAGAGCACACTCATACCTTATTGTGCATCAAAATTGCACATCCAGGCTCTAATTGATCCTTATCGACAAAGGACAAGATCCCGACATAGTATTCCGGCCCGACCGAAGACGAAACGATGGCATGGTTCTCGTCTATAAGCTCCTCCAAGTTACCAACGCTCATAGGCGAACCCCTAAGGTCATCTACTTTGGATCTGTCTTCCTCGGCCTTCTCCTCCTGGGGTTTGAGACGCTCCTGATTAGCCACAAATTCTTCCTCCATCAACAAGTAATCCTTGATTCGCTCAAGCTTTAAGAGCCGGAGCTTACACTTAGTGAGGGGCGTCACCGTTGGCAATCGTGCCGCCGCCTCGGGACCCTTCTGCTTTCGCTGCTTACGACCGACTCGTGCCGGCGGGGCCGCCGGTTCAAACTTTTTCTCCTTCTTGCCGCTACCATCCTGTTTCCGGTCTCCCGGATGACCACGGCCGAGACTACCCGGAGATCCCTGACCCATAATTTGTAAACCGCAGGCGTGCGGAAGATGCGAGAGCAGCGACTCGGAAGTAGGGGATACAGAGAGCGAGAAAAGAAACAGAGAGACTAAACTCCCTCAAGTTCGCTTCGAGCACAAGTTAAGCGGCGGATGCCCCAGGAAATCAGATTTTCAAGCCCACACCAAATTGTTTTGGGCCAAGAAGCCCAGGCCGAAAATGAACGCCTGTAGCGCAGAAAATATTTTGAGCCGATCCAGTGAATTGCAGTCCAATGGATTTTTTTATATAGAGTCTATTTCATGGGCCTTAAAACTCATAGCCTAATCTACCCAAAAAAGAAAGTGTTTCGTTTATACCCAAATAAAGTATAAAAATCATTTATGCACGCTGGATTTTTTAATTAAACTACAAATAAAGTAGGAATTTAATAATTATTTGTTTTCAAATAAACTATAAAATTTTTATAGTATTTTTAAAAAATCATATGTATATTTCAATAAAAAAAATCTAAGGACAAAGATTAAAAACAAAATGTATTATATAAAGAGAGAATAAGGGATTAATGACAATAACTAGTTTCATCGAAATTTGAAGGATTGAGATTTTAATTAGAGCGTGTAAGAAAACATTGGAACATGATGAGAGTCGCTTCCTACGCAATAGGCTGCATAGCATTGTACGTGATGATGTGAAAATAAATCTAGCTACATAAAATTAAAAAAAAAATGTCAATTGTTGTCAAGGAGAACAAGTCAGTAATCAATCAATAAAAAACAAATAGTGTTGGTAGAAGGGGGCGTGATTCGAAGCTCAAGCGGATTGCGCTACAAGCAGCCACATGTCGCTTTGTTGGGACCCGCAACCAGAAGGCAGGATTCTCGAATTTTCCTTTTTTTTTTTATTTTTCCTTTTCGCAGGTGCTCCGAGGCCGGGGCCTTGGAATCAATGCGCTGCCAAATATCCCCGAGGACCCCATTTATTGTCCACAAGGGTTGCGAGGCGTTCAAGTTTTGCCAGCTCAAGCTTCTGCGAGAAAAACCATCCCCCTCATGAGAATTCAACACAGATGGCTGGTTCCGTGGTAAGGCCTACACGGCTACGATCCAACCCTATACACATGTTTGACTCATTCACAAGAAAAACGGAGACCATGATACTACTACGTACTAGAGAGTCACGCAAGGGATGGCCAGCTGAGTGCTGAGTGCTGGTTCAGAGTGGGTGAGTGGTATTTATGACATTGAATGTGAGGGAGGGTTGTGGACTGTGTTGCCCCAGCCAGCTGCCTGCCTTGCCAGAGCTTGTACGTGAACTGTTGAGTGTAAGGATTTATAAAAGCCCTGTCTCCATAATTGTGGACTGGCGTGGAAACGGAAGAATCAGCGGGAGCCACAACCTCTCTTGATTTTTTTAATTTTTTTAATAAAATATAAAGATCATACATTCTTTACCTCCTAAATTAATATATTATTAAAGTTTTAAAATATAAAGTGAATTTTTCATTTCAACTCTATAATGATCTAATTGTTTCGATGGCTTAAAGATACAGTTATCATAAAATTTACTTATTTTTAATGAAATAATGTAATTATTCTTAAAACATCGATATCATTTGATTTTACTTTCATTATCAAGTAATGCAACAAAAATTTCAAGATGTATTGAATGTTATGTGTTTGATATCTATTATAAAATTATTTGTCCAATGGTTAAGAGGTTATAACTAATATATGCTCTTCTAGAAAAAATTACTTTTTTATAATAATCAAGATATTGAAATTTAATATATAAATTATTTTTATTGTTATATACTTAAATCTCATCAATATAAAGAATTTGTGACAATTGAGCATCATCACCATGTTAGTATATTTATTTGCTATTAGTATCAATTGAAAGAATTAAACAATAAATTCAATAAACAAACAACATATTTTTTTTAGATTGAACATAATTTTAGATCCAAAAAATATATTTAAATTATTCAATACTCATGTAAAAGATGAAATATTTACCAATTTAATGATAATTTATATTGAGAAATAAATTGCTAAAAATTTTATTATAAACACAATAATTAATTATTATTATTATTATTATTATTATTATGTAAGTATATATTTATTTTCATCATATAAATAAAATTAAATATAAATATATGTTTAAAATATTTATGTTATGTTTGTCACATATATAAATTTAATTTTTTTAATTATTATATATACCGTGTGAATTTAATTCTTTCAATAAAATTTTTTAGCTCAGCCCTGTTGTGGCTCATTGCTAAGTGGGACATACATACAGTCCTAATTTTCGGCTTTCACTAAAATGTTCATTATAACGTTTTCCCGAATAGCTGGGCCAGGCTACCCCTATTCCCTGTGTCTGAAGCATCAATGCTCGCTCCCTTGGACCTGGCGAAAAAGAAAGCACTACTAGACCTTTCAGGAACCAAAATATACACTTCAGGACCACCTACTGATTAAATATAGAGACCTGCTTCAAATTAAAAAGCCACGCTTGTTCCACCCATGTTTCCTTATTTCGACGTGAAGTATCTTTGGCGGAGTCTTGATTGCCCACCATTAATAACGTTTAATCAAACCCTAATTAAATACAGACTTGAAGGGTGAAGCTTCAATATATATAGTAGTATTACGTTGAACTCCTCAAGAGACATCAACCAGCTACCACCTTCAAAGTGGAATTTGAAACAGATCAACAGTAATCGCTTGAGTATGATGGCTTAGATCGATGACATTGATGATGGATCGAAAGACATAAATGCTGGCTGTGGACACCAATAAATCTCACGGGAACTGCATGAAATCCAATCGCAACCAAGAGCTTCAAACATTGCCGGGATTTGCTTCCCCATAGTGGACCACCCTGTATACTCATTCAACACACACGATATATAATTAAACTCTTCGTGGGAATTTAAAACAAAAACCTCGCCTATCTACGTCTATATAGTATATACTGTACTGCTCTTCAACAAAAATGATAACTGGGTAACTTCTTCACTCCTTGAATTAATTTTAATTGCCTGAACATTTCATTTTTCATTTGAAAATATAAACATATAGCCTGTGCCATAAATGCATGAAACACGTATCTTTATGATTTCTCTGTCACTACTTACTGGCTTCGTCTGTACAGATTTTTTAAAATAAATGTGAATATTAGCATGTGCTCATACACTTTGCAGACCTTGTCAGCAAATTAAGGAAGTCAGTGTCCCGACGTTTACTCCAGGGAAACAAGTCTTACGTTTATAACCTTATGAAAAATATAATCCCTGATCGATGTTGCGCGATAAGGATTGAGTATTACAACATCGAACACAGGAGACGGGAAATATATGTATTATTAAACTATCAATTAATAACTTGCAAAGGTCACTTTTGTACTCAACAAAAGAAACATAGATGAAAACCTAAAATTTAAGCAATGACCCAGAGACGAAAGTTGACGCTACAAATTAACGAAATATAACTATTCTCACTCCACAAACCCTAACGATATCCTTCGACGACATGAACAACGTAACACAACCGTTATTTTCTGAACCGAAAAATATAAAGTCGTAAGAGGCTAAGATGATTAGACTAGGAGCAACAACATAAAGTCATGTTCTCGACTCTCTCAAGGGTAAGGAAGAACACCGGTACCGCCACCAGCTCCGCCACCAACCCCACCGCCAACACCACCGCCAGCACCTCCTAGACCCCCAGCTCCGGCACCGGCCAGTCCGCCGAATCCTCCGATGCCTGAGCCACCGCCAAGCCCGCCGCCAAAACCACCACCGACTCCAGCTCCGACTCCTCCGAAAGGCAACCCGTTGCTGCCGAGTCCTGAATAGCCACCAACGCCTCCGTAGGTGAGGAAGTTCTTCTGGTCCTTGAGGCCAGCGTCACTGGGCACTGTTCTGGCACTGGCGGCCGCAGCTAGAGTAAGAACCAACAAGATACACCACCTGGCCATCTCTCTGCTTCTCTCTCCCTCACAGTTCGCAGCCCTAGCTTAGTGATAGTGATGAACAAGACTGCGAGGGCTCGCTGCTTTATAAAGGGAAAAAAATAAAGTGATGGAGAGGAGGCAGTTGGACATATTAAATGGAAATTTAATGTTTCACCCCACAGAAGTGGTAAAAGTAAAACCATTCCATTACACTAACCTAACCATTCACAGGAATTTAAGAGACTCACTAGAGATTAATAAATCATTAATAAATCAATTAAACTGTCCTGGTTCCATTTTTGAAATGACGAAACTGACAGGTGCATCGTGACCATCAGTGATGTCCCCCCACCAAAAAAAAAAAGAAAAAGAAAAGAAAAGAAAACAATGCGAGTTCTTGTTAGGCCGTAAGTTTTGGTTAGCCATATAGCATTAGTCTGGATCTGTTTTAGAAACTATGCGCCAGAAGACACTCTTTCATACTTGAAGGTCCACATTGTTACCCATATCGCTTGAGGTTAACCTCAGGCCTAGGCCCAGGCCCATACGGATGAATTGAGAAGCAAACATTCCAGGCAGCAACAAAATGGGCAGAGTGATTAACACAAAAAAAAAAAAAAGGGCAGAGTGAGTGCACAAACAAAATATCACTTGCGAAGAAAAAAGCCTATGAATTTTGAAAATAATACTCTGATTATCATGAAATAATAATTTGGGAGGTTTTCCTCTTCATGGTGCTATTTTATATGCCACCTCATAGTAATAGGTTCACGTGCAATTAACGCCGTAAACTCTTGTTTATTATTAACGTCAACGGATGTCAATGATTAAAAAAAAAAAGTCCGATGGCCAGAAATAAATGATTAGAAAGTCATGTGCATCACACAATAATTGAGTTAAGCTAATGAAAGAAAAAAGGAAGTCATACAACATATTTATTAACGGAGGAGTCAAAATGCCGACTTTGGAAGGAGAGGTGACATTTGGAATAGGCGAAAGCGATAATCATAGAGATACGTGGTGGCAAGCACGTAGGGGAAAAGGTGGGAAAAGAAGAAGGAGGAGCATGTTTCAATAATCAAGCCGTTATTTTTCTAAATGATGAGGTAATCCATTACATACCAGGGCCGGAAAAAACAATGGGAATTAAGCAGCAGGTTGGTTTGTGAATGAAAAAGCAGGACTATTAGTGTCTAAACCAAACATCGGAAGCAATTCTCAGATTCGTTTTTTAAAATCTTTATTCATTCTTCAAACATCATGTAAAGAACTGGGGAGGGAGGATAAAGGTGGGTAGATGGGTGAGCCCGGCTTTTGATACGGGTTTAATCCTAAAAGAATCAAGTTGAGCTTGAAAAGCTCACCTACAAAAAAGGAGGAAAAAAATTCTCATTTGCAAATTTAGTTTTTGACCTCACTTGCTTAGAGCTAGCCTGTCTAGACTCCTAAATTATTAAAGATTAATATTTATAAGTTTATATTACGTTTTAAAACTTGACCTAATGAATGAGAATTGTGTAGTGAAAGAAACTAGTACATTATAATAGAATGATTAGCAAATAAAGATTTCAAATTTTTACTGAAAAATATATTTATATTTAATAGTCAACCATACCTTAAGCAGATTGCTTTCAATAAAAATATACATGTTTTTGGTTAAAAAAAATAAAAATACACATGTTAAGAATTAAAAAAAAATCTTAAATACCAAGTATAACCCCAATAATGATGGGGCTTAAATGGGTTGGGAGTGTGATCAGCAAATATAGTGGAAGGCGAGGAGGAAAGAGTGGGCGTGGGTTTGCCACGCAAGGGAATGAAAGACAGGAAGAGGTTGACTACGAGGAGTGGGGCCCGGTTGGTGGATGAGAAGACGAGGTGGTCATGCCGTAGTGCGACGGAGCCAGAACTGGGCCGTAGAAGAAGATCGACGCTATACGATATTCTAAATTAAAGGTATATCACTCACAAGCTCCAATCCTTTGTTTTTTATCTTTGCCTTCTCAAATTTTCGTTCCACGCATGGACGCTTGCTTCAAGACAATGACATCGGCCATCCCTCTTTCGTTCCGTTATTACTGTTTTTTTTTTTTTTGTTCTTTTTGAAGGGGTTGAAGTGGGGAGATGGAGAAGATGTGAGGTTTTGTGCATATTAATGTTTCCTATTCATGTCCACGCAATAAGCGCGGCAACAGCTTATCCTTTCATGATTCCCCACTCTCTCCACGCGCTTCCTCACCTTCCTTTCCTTATTCTCCTTTTTTTGCTTTTTTGGTTGAATGAAATGCTTCTACTTTATTACCGTCTAATAGCAGTTCCATCTTTTAATAAATCTTGTTTATCATGTGTATATCACTCTATTGCTTGCACTGGAGATTAACTGCTTTCTCGCGTTTAATATCTGACAGTATTTCTAATAAAAAGATAGTAATAAAAACAATAATTCCTTAGGATTTTTTTTGGGGGGGGGGGGAGCTGCTTCCTCGCAGTTTGTCCCCCTGTTAATTTTGGCAAGATGAGAATTGATTTTATCCTGTTTTTCCATCAAATACGTGCTTCTCTAGTTTGCGTAATATATATATATATATATATATATATATATTATAACCAGCGATAAAAAGGGGCGGAACCGGGGCATGGGGGGCCAAATTTATAAAAAAACATTATGTGTAATATATTGTTAGCTTTCTATTTTTAAATAAATATTTCATAAAAATAATTTTATAATAAAAAAATTTATAAGATAAAAATACTTTAAAAACACGTAATTATATTTTGGTGTATATTTATATTTGTATGTATGTATATATATAATATAGATTTAAAAAATAATAGATGAGGTTGATTTCCAAATTTTGTTAATAAAAAAAACCCTAACACTCTGAATAAGTAAAAGTGTAATTTTGATCCTCTAATTTAATATAAAGACTTCGTTTGATTTTTTTCATTTTATAAAGTATCTTCTAAATCTTTTAACTTTAACACTATTATTATTATTATTTTGTGTCGGTCAAATAGCACTACTAATTTCAAATGATGATTTGTTATGTCAATCAGTATTATTTTATAAAATTAAACTTAATAACCATTTGAAAATGTTTTGTTATTAATGAAACTAATAGTGTTAAGCTTAGAAGACTAAAAACATACCCTTTATAAAATTAAAAGATCAACATAAAACCTTGTTTGAAATTAAAAAAATAAATGTATACTTTAGCCCATTGAATACAAATATTAAAAAAAACACAAATAAATAGCTAATATTAATTAAGAACAAATAGTAAAAATATATGAGCTTTGTTTCCATTTAATATACTATAACAATAGCCATAAAATCACATAAACATATGTGCGTCAGTATTAATGTATTAGCATTGTGTGAGTTGTTGTGAAGAGGTTTTCTTTAATCAGAATCAGAGTTATACCCAAAAGCATTATTTCTCGTCAGGCCATTAAGTGTTTCGCCTGTGACATATAATTGAAGAAATGGCCAGAACAAAATACTGTATAATCCAAGAAGAAGATCTGGTAAGCACGTGGTATGGCACGTGTTGAAGTCCCGGCTCCGCGATGGAACGAGATCACACGTCTCAAGAGACGGGCCGCACTTGCCCTGAAGCTAAATCCTCTACCATTACTTTTTTTTTTTTTTTTATAACTAAATCCTCTGCCATTCTCTTTAGTCTTTATATAAATATATACAAAGTCTTTCGAAATTAAAATATTCATGAATTGTTTTTCTTGCAAACTATATTACTACTTTTCAACAGATATATGATTTATTGGTGGGGATGGCTCTCCGGATAATAGATGAAATAGGAATATAGAAAAAAATTGTGCACAATGTTTTTCAAAGCGTGAGCTGCATTTTTTTTTGGTAAGTTTAACCCGTCGTTATCTATTTTAATATTTGGGTGCAAATTAATGACAAATTTTATTTTATTTTAGATACAACGGAATTCTTAAGTGTGAATTGCACGTCCAAAACTCGAGTTAAAACAACACTGGTTTTTATAAAAGGATAATTTGACTTTTTCTTTAACAAATCCAAAGTCAAAGGCATTAAGTTTCAGTAATTGAGTGTTAAGAAATGGATCATGATGAGGAGTATTTAATTATTTAGAGATAATGCAATAATGCTTTGAACTGATATCTTTTAAATAATAAAATTATATTTAAAAGTCTTAACCTTTTGTTGGTTCTTTAACCACCCCACAATGGATTCATGAATATATAACATATAATATATTTTAATAATTCATATTAATCACAAGTTAAAAAGAAATATTCTAAATTAAAGTTTCCTTCAAATATATTATAATTTTAGTTTTATAACTTTTTAAAAGTGCTTTTAGAATTAGAGAGGCATGATTTTAATGATCATAATTTTTTATGTAATCTTTCGTAAAAAAAATTAATTTATAAAAACATAATTATTTTTTAAAAAAACATATGTTCGTTTTAAAAAAACATTCCAACATAATTTGTAGGGAAGCAAACCGGAGCACGTATTTGCTCCCTTGGCTTTGAAAGTTTCAACCATCCCATGCTTTGGTATCGGCCCTGAGCTTCCACTGACCACCGCCTAAAATAATAAGACATGATATTTTCACAACACGCAAGCAGCTCGCGTATTGTACTGGGATATTATACCCACGTCCAACAATTATCACGAGAATGAATTGCAAAAAAATTATCATCATTGATGTTGACTTTTTAAAAAAAACTTTTATTTTAAATTAAATTTTAATGCATTTTTATTCGCTCACTAAAACACTGAACAATGAATATTTTTATATGCATATTTGATTTAAATATTACTTGCAGTTATTTCGTATAAATAATTGAACACACGCACACACGTTTGACGTAATTTGAATTAGTTTTTTTATTTCTCTAATTCTTTTTATTTAAAATAATTCTATTCGAGATATAATTAATCATTAAATGTGAGATTCTCCTATAATAAAATTTAAATATTAATTTATCACATCATGAAAGATTAGCATAATAGATAATGAAAGTGATGGGAAATATGAATATATTCTTTTAATTTTATTTATAAGTTACTTTTAATATATTTTACTGTAATTTAAAAAATTAATAAGTTATTAAATTTGTTTTTATTGAATATATATATTTTAATAATATTTTTAATTTCAAAGTTCGTAAAGATAAAAACTTGACATGAAAATTTAATAACATAATTTATAAATAAAAAAAATTCTCTTTCCAGCTCATAAAAAGGCAAGAGGGAGTGCACGATAGAGGAGGGGGTGTGATAAGATAAGAGGGTTCGGGGAGAGCGATAGGGAATGGGCCGGAGGAGGCCCAAGAAGGGGATACTTTGTACGGAGTAGAAATTAAAAAAAACAGAGACAGGAAAGGTTACGTGATGTGTGTAAACGATACGGAAGAGGAGGGTGCCTCTACGGCATTCGGCAGAAAGCGAAAGCTATTTGATTCCTCCGCTGACCTCACCCCCCTCCTTCCAAATTCAAACCCCTCCACCCTCTTTCTACTGTCTTTCTTTCTTCTGTTTTTGGGAAAACATATAATTTGGTGAGTAAAATATTCCCACTTGGTTGCCCTCTCGCCTCCATACAAATTTTATTAAATTTAAATTTAAATTTCATCAAAAATGCGTGCGAGGGCGATTTTGTGGTGAGCTGGAAAGGGCAGTCATGAAAAGCTGGGAGGGCGCTTATACGAGGACCAATTATATAAGCGTGGTGGCATACACATCGCATTAAAGAATTCCGATATAAGAGAGTAGTGTTGTGGGGGAGAAAAGTTAAAAAAGGCAAGCAATTATGGGAATTATATAAGGAGATAATTGAACCCTAGCCGCCCTTTTGTCAAGACCTTGAAATATTAAAAAAAAAGGCCCCTAAAATATCTGAAAATCTTAAAAGAAACCCCAAACAAAGATGCATCCCGCACCAGTCACCACCGCCAAAGTAATCCCACTTTCGCCTCTTATCATCCATCTGATAGCCACATCCCACCAATCAACGCCACGACACTTTCCTCTCCTTCGAAATTCCAATTTTAAAATATTTATTAATTCACGAAAGAGAAAGGCCAATTACAACCTGCATATCATTCTTAATGCTTGCTTTTTTAATGAAATTAAATTAATTAAGCAGGGTCTGGTTTACAGATGAGCCACCCGGGAGGAGTGCACCGTCACCGTTAACAAACGAGGGTACCGGGCGTGTTGGGTGTCGTGTGCTATCTAGTGAAGGCTTTATCCCTCGAAACCTCTTCGTTATATTGAGTCGCAACCCACTGGCCCTGCTTTCTTCCCCTGTTCACACCTCCATACTCTTCTCTGTTTCTTTTTACGGATCCGGCGCCGGAAAACGAGAAGGCCGAATAGGTTCTTTTGTTTTTTGTCTTTTGGTTTTTCGCTTGAGAAAACAAAAACTTATAGAGGGAAAACGTCTGGAGTGGGAAATATGGTTGTCGATGACTTGATGGGTGAGATCATCATCGTCGGCTCTGGATGTTCTTCCTCTTCTCACTTCTCCGATGCCTATCCTAAAAGGTAATCTTTGAAGATCCCCCCTTTGGTTTGTCTCTGTATATTTAGTTTCTTTCCTTTTTTCCGTTTTCAAAGAATATGTCGGCCGACAAGAAATAGAATTCAGATTTCTTCTTTATGGATCTGATGGTCTTGATTCTCTGCTTCCCACCTGATTTTGGGGGATTCATAGAAATTCTCGTCTCTGGTTTAGATGTAGTTTTCCTGTAGCATTTTCGAAACTTCCTCCTCCCGCTCCCTGGGTAGATATAGAGATTCAGCCGACCTGTTTTGCCCTTCCCATGTCTATTCCTCGTCTCCTCCTGTCTTCCTCTATAGAACCCTAATTAAACATATATACACGTATATTTGAGAGTATACAGATGTTCTTCTAATTTATCTCATAGATTAAAACATTTTAGAGTTTATCTTGTTGGATTCTTTAATTTCTTTTCCCCTTCCTCTTTCTATTTTATTTGGGTGTGTGAGGGTTTTGCTATCTGATTGATAAATCTAGGGTTTTGATGGAGGGGAGATATAGTGGGGATTAATATGAAGGTTTTCATAAGGCTGTTCTCTTGAATTGTTTTTGCGATGCCAACATTGAACCGACCAGCGATACAACTCATCAGCGAGATGAGGTAGTATGGGCGATTCCCGTCTCACGTCTTTGTCTATGGAGAATCATCACCCTTCCACGCTCTTATCCATGGATTCAAGTGCTTCTTCCCACGAGGAACTCGATTTGGAGATGAATCGCCAGATCATACTTTCAGGCCCGCCAGATATCAACTTGCCCCTTTCAGCGGAACGCAGTCCTCCCCCGCAGCCATGGAATTCTGATGCTTGTGATATTTTGGATGTTGGTCTTGGCACTCAAGTTTATGAGACTGAGAGTTTCCTCAACATACCCAAAAGTGGAAGGAAATTCGCCAAGCGCGTTGATAGCATTTGGGGTGCTTGGTTCTTCTTCAGTTTTTACTTCAAGCCTGCGTTAAATGACAAGTCTAAGGCCAAGATTATCAGGGACGGCAATGGTGTTTCAGGGTTTGACAAATCAGATCTCAAGCTTGATATTTTCATGGTTCAACATGACATGGAAAACATGTACATGTGGGTTTTCAAGGAGAGGCCTGAGAATGCACTGGGTAAGATGCAGCTGAGGAGTTACATGAATGGTCATTCTCGCCAAGGGGAGCGTCCGTTTCCATTTAGTGTTGACAAGGGTTTTGTTCGATCCCACCGGATGCAACGGAAACATTACAGGGGACTCTCAAACCCCCAGTGTCTGCATGGCATTGAAGTTGTTCCATCCCCCAATCTCATGGGTCTTGATGAGGATGATCGGAAAAGGTGGATGGAACTCACTGGCAGGGACTTGAATTTCACCATCCCTCTTGAAGCAAGTGATTTCAGTACGTGGAGAAATCTTCCCAACACGGATTTTGAGCTTGAGAGACCACCTCCCTCAGTCAAGAATGCTCCAAATGCACACTCAAAGAAACTGCTGAACGGATCTGGGCTGAATTTGTCAACTCATCCATCTAACCACAGTAACGGTGATGCGATGGACCTGACTACTGTCGGAAACAAGAGGAGGAAGGACTTTTTCCATCATGGAAACGAAGAGGAATGTTACTTGGCTGTGAATCCTCCAGCAGATCGGATTCCGGACATGGAAATGCATCCTAGTGAGCCACACTGGCTGAATGACTTTAGCGGGGTGATGAAGAATGTTTATGGACCTGTAACAGCTGCAAAAACGATCTACGAGGATGAAGAAAGCTACTTGATCATTATCAGCTTGCCCTTCGTGGATCTTGGGAGCGTGAAAGTCTCCTGGAGAAACACTCTCACTCGAGGGATCATAAAGGTGTCCTGCGTGAGCACGTCTGGAAAACCATTTATCAAGAGACAAGATAGAACGTTCAAGCTGTCGGACCCATCCTGTGAGCACTGCCCTCCAGGAGAGTTTGTGAGAGAAATCGCACTGTCGACCAGAATTCCGGAAGATGCAAACATAGAGGCATACTATGACGGGCCGGGGTCGGTGCTGGAGATTATGGTGCCAAAACTGAGCGCAGAACCTCAAGAGCACGAAGTGCGTGTTTGTCTTCGTCCTCATCTAGGTGGGAATGATCTGAAGCTGACTTGAGATATTCAGATCAGAGACTAGGCACTTCGGGAAAACATTGTTAGGGTTGTCAGTTGCTAGAACGGTCCTTGTTTCATCGTTGTCCTGCTAACTTTTGTCATGTGAAATCTATAAACATTTTCTCTGTATTAATTACGTTAAGGTTGGGGCATTTTATGAAATGTGCAGAGCGGGAAGGAGCGTCGAGTGGGAACGCGTTCTCGGCTTATATTGAATAGAACCGACACGTAGTACCTCGGACATCTGAATGTCAATCTGATCATCCAGTGAATGAAAGAGAATATAAGAATTGAGAATGGGAAGTAGGGTGCTTTTAGCATCACGCATCAAAAGACCTAAGTAAGTTTAATGTGCAAAGTCAACATCAGCTCAGTAAAGTGGATGAGACATGCTGTGTGTTCGTGGTAGTGTCTTTACGTTTTTCTTCTTTTAGGTTGCTGATGGGAATATCTACCTGAAGAATGAATATCTTTGAGATTTTGCGTTTAAAAAGAATTGCCACCGAACAATTCTGAATCAGTGTGATGGAAAGAAAATGTGCGAGTAAATATAAGAATGAGGCTAAAATATTAAGAATGGCAACGGCTGAAGTGGGATGACGTTTATGGAGACTGTCCAGCACCGTCATGAGTCATTGCTTTTGGTGTCTAATAGAATAGTAATAATATATGCTTGCTCTATTTCGATTTACAATTTTAACTGGATTTTAGACCCAATGCAAAGGAGTATTAATCCATGTTGCTTAAGAGAAATAGAGCGGAGAAAATTGAAAGTTGAATTTTATTATTTTTTTAAAAATAAGACAAGATAATTATATTTTTAAATTTCTTTAGCTACTGCAATTAACTATTTTTTTATTCCTATTATAATATAAGTTGTTTCTTTAGTTATTAGAATACACAAATATAAATAATAATGTATTTTATTTTCATACAATTTATTTTACAAAATATGACTAATATTTTATTTTAAAAAATATAAAGCATTTTTTGGCTGAGTATTACCCCCAATAAAATTATGTTTTCAAACCAACATCATAGTTTCATATTTTCTTATTTAACAAGATATTTTATTTTAAAATAAATACTATTTATTGTAGCTATTTTTACAAAATAGCATATTAATTACACCTTAAACAACTAAAAATACCTTATATTTTTCAAATACAATTTAAATTTTTAAAATATAAAATATAAAATATGTTTTTTATTTTAATTGATATTATTAAAAATTAATTTTTTAAAACAATTTACTTTATAAAAAATAAAAAAATAATTGCATCCTATTGTTGAACTACAGTGCCAATCCGATGCAAATTACAAAGGATGAGAGATTCCATTTACAAGTATATTACTCACTTACAATATATTTATTTAAATTAAAAAAAATTAAAATTCATTAAATTTGTCTAAATTTTTTAAAATTGTATATCTATTGTGTGTGTATATAACTTGATATTTAATATAAGGCAAAAAGAGAAATCTATGATAAAAAAATCAATTACATGATTTATAAATAAGAAATAAAAAAATTGTTTTTAAAGTAAGATCAAGGTAAGTATAACGGGCCTTTTAATACACTGCTACCCTCATTCATGTTATCTTATTTCATGATTTCAATTTTCAACCCTTTCTATTATGAGGTTAAAAAAAAACCTTTATATTATCTTTAAATTAAATTGAAATAAAATTATAAATTTTATAAAAAAAATCGAAAAACTTTGTAAATTTCTTTTGAGAAATTATTATGCTTCATGTAAGTTTGCAGAGATTTAATATTATGATATAAAATATAAATTTAGTTTCAAAATAGACACTTCTAATTGTTGAAAGAAATTGCACTGTTTTGGGAGAAATAATTGAACTTAAAAGCTTTTTTTTTTTTTTGAAAATAATAAGAAAAATTATTTTAAAATATAGGGCTTACATACGTTCCGACGTTACCCAAAAAAAAAAAAAACAGCACATATATAACTCAATTTTAAATTCATGATGTTATTAACTCGAAAACAAATAAATTTAAATGGTTAAATTTCAGTTCTGAATCATCTTAGCCTGATGTTATCGGGCTATAGAATCAAGGGGGGGAAAAAAAACCGTAACCTTGCTCGTTCACTCCGAGGGCATTGCCACGGTGGCAAATGGGGAAGTGGGAGCAGATGCGATGCTCTCTATGATAGAACTTCCTTAATAGTGTTCCCCAATTTTGGACCCCATTTATCGCACTTCCAGCAGTTCTCTCTTCCACTTCCTCCGAAAGTACCGGGCATTCTCCCGCCAAGGGCAATCATAACAAAGAGACATTCTCAAATTGTTGCATACTATTACTGGTAAAGTAAATAGAAACTATCAGGATCGAAAAATGCGCATCATCACACTCCAGCAACACAATTTAGGAGAGCAACTCTAAAGCAAAGTATATTATAATTAATCCAGTGCTCTGCAGTCCAATAAAAACCTTACATTAAATCTTAAATGCTATGCCTAAAAGTGGCTTACGCAACAAAGCCAAATGTTTGTATTTGAACCAGCAAAAACTAAAAGTCATGGAAACAACACAAGACGTCAAACAAAATTAATCAGACGCAGAATATAGAAGTTTGAGCGATCACATTTAGTCGACTTCCTCAATCTTGGGGCCAGCACCACTTGCGCCAGAAGGAGGAACATCGTCATCCATGCCAGCACCCATGTCAGGACCAGCACCACCCTGGTACATCTTGGCGATGATAGGATTGCAGATGCTTTCCAATTCCTTCATCTTATCCTCAAACTCATCCGCCTCTGCAAGCTGGTTGCCGTCCAGCCAGTTAATGGCTTGCTCGATGGCATCCTCTATCTTTTTCTTGTCAGCTGGATCAAGTTTTCCTCCAATTTTCTCATCTCTCACGGTGTTCCTCATGTTATATGCGTAGTTCTCCAAAGCATTCTTTGCCTCTACCTTCTTCTTGTGCTCTTCATCCTCAGATTTGTACTTCTCTGCCTCTTGAACCATCTTCTCAATCTCTTCCTTTGACAATCTACCCTTATCATTTGTGATCGTGATCTTGTTCTTTTGGCCAGTAGTTTTATCCTCAGCAGAAACATTCAGGATACCATTGGCATCAATGTCAAAGCACACTGTAATTTGCGGGACTCCTCTAGGAGCAGGAGGAATGCCAGACAGTTCAAACTTACCCAGCAAGTTGTTATCCCGAGTTCGGGTCCTCTCACCTTCATAGACTTGGATCAACACACCAGGCTGGTTGTCAGAATAGGTTGAGAAAACCTGCTCTTTCTTTGTTGGGATAGTAGTGTTCCTGGGGATCAAAACAGTCATCACCCCACCGGCAGTTTCCAAACCGAGTGAGAGAGGGGTTACATCCAAGAGCAGAAGATCCTGGACCTTCTCATTGCCTTCACCGCTCAAGATAGCAGCCTGGACAGCAGCACCATATGCAACAGCCTCATCTGGATTGATGCTCTTGCAAAGCTCCTTCCCATTAAAGAAATCTTGGAGAAGTTGCTGGACTTTGGGAATTCTTGTGGATCCGCCAACAAGAACAACATCATGGACGCTCCTCTTATCCATCTTAGCATCCCTTAAACATTTCTCAACTGGTTCCATGCACTTTCTGAAGAGATCCATGTTGAGCTCCTCAAACCTGGCACGAGTGATGGGGGCATAGAAATCAATTCCCTCATACAAGGAATCAATTTCAATTGTTGTCTGAGCAGTGGAAGATAGCGTTCTTTTAGCCCTCTCACAAGCAGTTCTCAGCCTCCTAAGTGCTCTGGGGTTGCCACTGATGTCCTTCTTGTGCTTTCTCTTGAATTCCTGCACAAAGTGATTAACCATCCTGTTATCAAAATCCTCACCTCCAAGATGAGTGTCCCCGGCTGTGGCTTTCACCTCAAAGATACCCTCTTCAATAGTGAGTAAAGAAACATCAAAAGTACCACCACCAAGATCAAAAATCAAGACATTCTTCTCGCCAACACTAGTTGCCTTCTTGTCAAGCCCATAGGCAATGGCGGCAGCAGTAGGCTCGTTGATAATTCTCATGACATTAAGGCCAGCAATAACACCGGCATCCTTAGTAGCTTGACGCTGGGAATCATTGAAGTAAGCAGGGACAGTAACGACGGCGTTCTTGATTGTGGAGCCAAGGTAGGCCTCAGCAATCTCACGCATCTTCATCAGAACCATTGACGATATTTCTTCTGCAGCAAATTGTTTCTCTTCACCCTTATAGTTGACTGAGATCATTGGCTTGTCAGCAGCACCAGGAGTGACCTTAAAAGGCCATAACTTAATGTCATTTTGAACAGAAGCATCACTGAATCTACGACCAATCAACCTCTTGGCATCTGACACAGTGAAATCATCAATGTTGTCCGTCAAGATAGTTCACGGTAATCTATGAGAATCACGACTTCATTCAAAGAGAAATCGGGCAGTACAAAGCATTGCGCAAAACTTAATGCGGGTAAAAAGTAAATTTCAAATCCATTAACAAGTAAGACAGGTTCCAGCATTATATTAATGACTAACCGCCTCATTTTAGTATAATCAACACAGTCGAATGTCATGGACTAACAGCTAAAAACAGATCTTAAGAAGAAGGAGCAAGAAACTTAGATCCGTTCTATCAGGCAGTTGACAGCAAAGAAAGCAGCCAAAATGATGAAGGGAAAACGGATCTAATAGAGCAAAAATTGCAATAATAGAAAGTTCATCGTAAGGCAACATGGGTAGCAGATCTTACCAAAGACGGTGTTCGTGGGGTTCATGGCGACCTGGTTCTTGGCAGCGTCACCGATCAAGCGCTCAGAGTCGGTGAACCCGACGTAAGACGGCGTAGTTCGGTTACCCTGATCGTTGGCAATAATCTCCACGCGGTCATGTTGCCAGACTCCGACGCACGAGTACGTCGTTCCAAGATCGATTCCAATAGCAGGACCTTCTCCTTTGCCGGCCATTGCTTTACGGTGGTGGTGTCGGCGAGAAATGAAAGGTAACAACGAGGATCAAAACCACAGCTTCGACGGGACTAGGATTTCAGAGCGAGTTGAACTATAACGCGAGATGATGGGCTACAAGGCTTTATATAATTAGGGTTTCAGTTTCTTCCAGAACGTTCGAACTTTTAAGAGCCGTTGGATCTAGGTACCAATTTTTG